GAATTTACTATAACATTCATTTTTTATGTATTATAAGAAATGATTTTATAGTAAACATGCATTGGAAATGAGCTCACTATGAAAATGCAATGAAAATAATTTTAGTAAGAAAATACATTGGAAATGATTTTATAGCACAAATACATTGGAAATGATTTTACTAAAAGTACATTGGAAATGATTATAATAAAAATACATTCAAAATGATTTTATTATAAAAGTACATTGGAAATGATGTTATTGTAAAAGTACATTGAAACTGATATAAAAATAGATTGGAACTGATTTTACTATAAAAACATTGCATTGGAGTCTTAAAAAGCTCTTTTAATAGGACTTTTTAAATTTCAACTGTAAATTAGCAGTAATTCTGTTTGATCAATGAATGCCAAATGTTTCCTGTGTAAAAACAGCCAATCTCACCATTACCATGTTGACAATGTGCATACCACACCAAGAGAGAAATTATAAAAAATCCATCTTTGTCAAGCTATGAAATTTTTAAGAGGAAGTGTTGTAAAGTACAAGATGTTTGGTTGTAAATCAAGTGGCAAATCATATGAGACTAATCAGTAGGCTTTCCGTAAAAAAACTCCTACAAGGAAAATTGAATGAAATCAGCCACAGAATACATAAAACTGATTTTTCATTAACAAATGTCATGCTATTCTTGATGGGCCAGATGAAGCAAAATTTTGTTGGTTACTAGCAGAAACTACCCTCACAGGTTGACATGTCAACAAAGGAGAGATGGTGGGATGTTTTGGGGTTGGATTGTAAGATACTTGTTTGATAAAGTGGCAAGGTCGGTCACCTGACCATAACCCAAATGAAGATTGTAGAACATTCTGAAGAACAAGGTTTATAACTGTGAATGGCAGTTTACAAGTGTGGTTGGTTGGTTCCTTCCCAGATTGAGATGTTTTGGGGATGTTTTAGGTGATGAAATCATGGACCCATGGCAAGTTCTAGATGGTGTTAAGATGACAGCTCAGATATACATTGATCTTTTGAAGTGCACATGAAACAATGGTACAAGAATAAGCCAAACATGTTTAGAAAGATGAATTTTATACATAACGATGTTTGGTAAGAGAAAAAACAAAAATAATGATAATAATGGATACCTGAATAAAATATATTTAAAAGTCTCATTTGATGAAATAGCTGACTTTTTTTATTCAAAATTAACCTAACTAAAAACTTGTGAATCATTCTGAAGAATGGTAATTTGGCAGCAAATACGAACTTTGGAATGCTCTTCTAGATGCTGTGCAGACCGTTTCATATGAAGAAATACAACAGCTTATAAAATCAATGGATGAATGACTTCTAAAACCAGTTGCAAAACAGGGAATATACATTTCACATTAATGTTCTCTTTATAACTTTGAATATACAAGTGGTGCAATAGATAGTGGCTTGGAAGGAGAAATCAGAGAGCAGAGTTCAATTTCCAGTCAAGTTCGTTACATTCTTTTATGCACAACTACCCTTGGGAAAGGTATGAATTCATCTCTTCTCCTTCTGTGGGTCAAATAGTAGGATTATGATCCGGAAAAATCATAGTTTCAAAAAATCTGATAAAAAATGAATTAATTAATCTTTATAAATTTTTCTTTGTTACAATGACACTGTTTTTAATTTTTTGTTGAAAACTTTTATCTTTTAATAATTGGGTTTATTATGTAATAACAAATTTTAATTCCAACAGAACATTTTTTTTTTTGGAGTTTCTCTAATTTGGTTCATAATGTGAGGTTTGGAAAATCCATTAAAATTCATTAAATTTCTGCTACATCATAACAGTGATTTGTACTCTACACTAATTTACATATAATTATGTTATATCAACTGCACATTAATAGTACAAATATTTCCTTTATTTTGCCATTAGTTTTCTAAAAATTAGTTAAAATTAAAAGTAATTAATAATGTGTTGTACTATGTACAGAGTAAGACCCCACTATCTGTAGATATGCCAACTATGAAAACCTCACTATCCACAGAATGACAACAAATGTTTCACTTATCCTCAATTGGCATAATCATAATCAGTTTGATTTTTCTATTCTAAATCTTTATTAAACTAAAATGATGGTTCATTATCATCCAAAGATTTTCTCATCTTCAAAGTGTCTATGTACCATGGTTAATAAGATTATTCTTATATACACACACACACACACGCACGCACGCACACACGCACACACACACACACACACACACACACACAATTTTTGGCAACTGAATAGATCTATCCCACCCACTTCATGAGGTAATTTTGGATTTTGTTGTGTAGTACTATTTATAGGCTCTGTTATAATAAATACATTGAACTTTTTTGTGGATCAGTTTTAATATTTTATATTACTAGGATCTACTTGGATTAAATACTAATGGATTGATTACCTGTAATACATATATATTTTGGGGTATTTGGGCAGCAATCTGTCTTTTATGCAAGTTTCATTAAAATGATTGATAAGGTACTGTTGTTAAGTTTTTTATATAATTTTTCATGTGTTCATATAATTTTTTTTATATTATTTTTCATGTGTTCATATAATTTTTTATATAATTTTTCATGTGTTCTTATAATTTTTTTTTTGACATAAATTATATAATCAGAGGTTTCAGCTGTACTTTTAGCTATCATTAAGAATTAATTTTATTTTTACTTTTATCTGAATGTATAGATTATTTTATATATGTATCTTGAGTTATAGGTTTGTTTTATTTTCCAAACATGGTCAGCACAACTATGAACACAGTCACAATTATTTTTTATATAATCTAGTCAATTGCATTTAGATTCTTTGATACAAAAGGGTCATTTTGCAAAGTAAGACATCAAATGCATTAGTTGCTCACCATAATGAGATTGACCACAATTTTGATATAAAAAATGTTGCTCTGATCAAAGGAGAAAACAATTCACTAAGACAAAAATGTCTAGAGAATGCCTTATTCACAAGGTCAGCCACAGTAAATTTGTGCCCTGGCTCATTTCACCATTTTTGGCAGATCTTCTATTATCACAGTGTGGGATATATATATATATATATATATATATATATATATATATATATGATAAAATATAGTTTTAACTTATGTTATATTTATGAGTTAAAGTGCTCAATATCAGTGATAGAGCATATGTAAATATAAATGTAAAACACCCAGTGGCAACAACCTCTTTCATGCTAAACACATCAATGAAATATTGTAAGAGCCAAGCCTGACAATTGCATTTAGCATGAAACAGACTGTTGCCTCTGGATGTTGACTTCACTGTCCACTTTTGTATTTATATATATGTGTGTGTGTGTGTGTGTATGTATGTGTGTGTGTGTATTGTAATTACAAAAGTACACAGATGCAGGCTTTAAGAAAGCTTTATTCAACTGAGAATACAAGGTCTGTATATAGTGTCTTTTTATAGTTCCAGTAAACAGAAATAGCTCACTCAAAGAGGGGAGTAACAAAACAAAGGGAGACCCCTCTTGATTATTCATAACTGATATAATGGAATATGCATACACCTGAGTTCCCTCTCACTGGAATATGATTCGCTGGTGTCCGTCATAAATACAGATGGACGTGTAGGTACGACAGAGTTTAAGTCTATGACAACGCCCATTGGACTACGCCATTATTGGCTATCCTATTGGTCTACACCTATTACCTGCGACTATGACGAGCACTGATTGATTACTGCTACCGTGTACTACTTGGTTATAGTAGCCAAAACCACTTAGCTACTTCGATCAAATATATCCCTTTCCGGGACATATCAATAACACACATACACACACACTCTCTCGCGCGCATGCACACACACATATACATATTTGTAAAGAACTAATGGATTTATTTTTAATATACCATCTTTTTTTATTTCTTCAAACATTATTATACTAGATTTAAATAAACACCCCATTCTTATTAAACATTGGGTCTTATGTTTATCAATCTGCTCATTCAAGAAATCTAAGTAAAAAAAATGAATTCCCCAACAGGAAGTGAAATTGTATCCTCCCCTAAAGGAAAAACCACCATTTGATCTAGTGTGCTTTACCACTCTGCCAAGAAGAACATAGCAGCAGGTAAGGTTCTGTTTTTCCATTTTTAAGGAAAGCACATCCCTTTCCCTGAGATTATTATCTTGAAAGCTCCATATCTAGTCAGTCTCATATCCAAAACATAAAGCAATTAATGGATTTATTTTGAATCTGACATTTTTATTACTTCAAACATTATTATAGTGGATATTTCATTTCCATTATATATGCAGTTATTAAATAATAAAAGTTCAATGGACTTGTCTTTCAATTTCCCTTCATATCCCCTTCATATGAATAGAAAACCAACTACTGAAAGTTATGCAGGTACGTGGTTGGTGTTTATTGCAGTAGCGAATTCAAAAATAATATAAATCTATTAATTTTTTAGAAATTGCTTTGTTTACATATATATCAATAATAAAAGTTCAGTGGACTTGTCTTTCAACTGACTTCAAAGTTTCATAGTCTCTCTTCTCATCAGGGTCAGATAAATCTATTGAATTATTACCACATATATATGTAAACAAAGCAATTTCTAAAAAAATTAATGGATTTATATTATTTTTTTTAAAGTGTTCAATGTAAAAATAGAGCAATTGAAGATATGAAAGATTGTTTTAAATAAATAAATATGTTAACCTAACATCTTGGTATTTACAGGTGTGGCGATCCACAGGTAAAAGCATACTAGCTACTAAGTTACCACATTGTTTATATATTTAAAACAATCTTATATCAATGTATGTGTATCTGTGTGTGTGAGTCACTTAGAAATACTATATCTACTGGTCCATAAGACACACTTCCCCTCCCCAATATATCTAAATAGAAAACCAACTACTGAAAGCTATACAGCTAGGTGGTTGGTGCCTATTGCAAAAGATGCCCTTGCAAAATTGTAATCTATCCTATACATACCTACTTCTCATGCTTGCGGCTGCATCATATTGAAACATCGGTTCCTGTATGATCACCGAAGTTAAGCAATGTCAAGCCTGGTTAGTACCCAGATGGTTGACTGCTTGGGAATACCAGGGAGCTGTCAGCTTGGATGTGCATGTGGTGTAATGTATAATGGCTCTGAATTGGTAATTGGAGAGCCGAGTTCCAATTCTTGTTTATTACATGCAAATTCCCTTGGGAAAGGTATGAACTCATCTCTTCTCCTCCTACAACCAGCTATGTAAGACTTGTATCACTAAAACCATTATTACATAAAAATTTTTTTTTTTTACAATCTAAAAATATTTTCCAGCTTTAAATAGCATACAAAAGAGATGATGAGCTGTAAAAAACTAATCAACCAAACTAAAATCAGGTCCTAGAGTAACCAAATTAAAGAGGCGCTAATATTTGGCAAGCATAGTACAATGAAAAAAAAAGCCCATTGGAGCTCAATTTTTCAAGTGAGAATGGTCTGCTTGCCTTCAAAATCTGCATTCAAGATCCTAGTTTTTACTTGAGTTTAAACCCTTACTCTTGGCATCCTCTGCATGGGTAGTGTAATGGATAGCAGCTTTGAATGAGAAATTGGAGAACTGAGTTTGAATTCCAGTTGGGTTTGTTGTATTCACTTATGCGCAAATATCCTTGGCAAAAGGTATGAATTCATCTCTTCCCCCTAGCTATGAGTTTAACAGAATAACTTGTATTTGGAAAATCATTGTTATATCAAAAAAATTGATAATGTAATATTCACTTTCAAAAATTAATTATTCTTATAATTCAAATGTTTGGGCTTTAGATAAGCCACAAAGGGTTGGTAACCCATAAAAAATAAATCAATAAGACTCTGGAATCCTTGATAAATATACAATTATCTGCTGGAATTGCACAGTAGGTAACGTGATCAAAAATAATTGTCCCCCCCCCCATTTTTTTCATATCATTAAGCTCTGTATCATGAATATCAATTTTCATTTTTATTTTTATTAAATTTTCTAAAAGTAAATAGGGGATCCAGTTTTCTATGTAAATCGATCCCCCCCTCCACTGAAGCTAAAACCAATGTTAATATGATGTGATTTCTTAAAATGTTAAGAAACACTTTTTTTTAGAAATTTGAAATTCATAATCAGGAATTCTTTTTTCATTTATTACTGTAAATTAAGCACTCCTGCTTACAAATTAAAAACAAATATTTTTTACATTTTTATAAATCACATCATATGAGCATATTTATTTTGTCTTCCATGGGGAGGGGTAAATTTACAATGAATTTACATCACAATCAGGAGCTTCCTATTAATTTTTATAAAATTTAATGAAAATTTATAAAAAACAACAAAAATGACTTCCTCTTTGTGATCTGGAGGGCATCTGGTTGCAATGCTTATTGTTTGGCGCCACCAACAATTCTAGCCAGGAAACTATTTATTTTTGATATTTACTGAACTAAACTACAAGGCCAAAATAGCAAAACAGGGTCAGGAGTGGGGTGGTGGTGGATTGTGTAACACCAATCAACATTCTACATCCTGGTCTTCACCTCCTCCAGGCTCAAATACCAATTTATAATACCAGCAGGAAATACTCATCTATTTTCAGGCATAAGCTATTATATCAATGTTATAAATATCAGATTATTCTTAAATACTGCTAAATGAGACAGAGAAGACCTGTTATTAGGAAGATGTTATTGTTGTGACTTTAGTAAATTTATATGATCGATCAGTCAGATTGTATCTCATGGGAACTGGTCCTGTTTACATTGTAATGAGTAGAAAATGCGAGTGTTCTTAGTTGTATGACATTCTGATTGATAGTAGATTTAAGATACAGCCTAAGCATTTCATGCTACACTTCATGAGTTTAAACTAAAAACCTACTTACTGTAACTAATACTTATTAATAGTTGATTTGGCTGCTAGTCTTTCTCTGTTCAGCTGTTATACATTTACAATAAAAACTATTTCATGTAAATAATCTGTTCTTCTTTATGGCTTTTTCCTTTTCTTTCTTTTCATTTTTGAGTAAGTGTTTAGATAAGGTAAGAATTGTAAAAATAATTATAAAAAAATAAAATGATGGGAAAATATAAAACTATATATAATCATATAAATAATTCTTGGGTCACCTCAATGTGGTATAATGGTTAGCAAGCTTATCTCACTAGAACAGTTACAATTAAGTAGTGAGTTCGATCATCACTGAGTAGCCCCTGCTTTCAGCCTTGTACCACATCTAAGTTATGCTGAGAAAATCACCATAAAAACTCTTATGACTTCCTCTCTGTGATCTGGAGGGCATCTGGTTGCCAAGCTTATTGTTTGACTCCACCAACAATCCCAGCCAGAAAACTATTTTTAAAAAATTTATTCAGCATCCTGTAGCTCAAAGGTTAATCATTTTTCTATTTTACTTAATATTATGTTTATTCTTTTAGTTGAAGAAGTCTCCAAAATTTATTGTGTCCTATAGTTCAAAGGTTAATTTTTATGTTACATTCTGGTGGCTTTTAGTGGATATCAACAAGTCTCATTTGAACACTAACACTCTGGAAATTCATATGATAGCAATAATAACTAGCTAAATCCCTATCTTATGAACATTTCTCTTAATAATAGTTTTAAAAAAATTCAGCAATGTTATTTTATTTATGGTAACTGGATTTTTGGCGATTGTCTTACTTAGTTTCTGTTGTTCAATACTGTGCAACAGAAAAATGGCACATTTTCACAGTTTCCATCACTTCTCAGCCTTTTGGCTGGGATCAAAGTGTAGTATCTATGCTCAGGTGGATTGTGCAACTGAAATATTATTGAGAGGTGCACTGTCTTGGGAAACAGTTGCCAATGCCAATATCTCCCTTATTACACTAAAGCGGTGTGACCGGTAGTAATACCGATGCCAGCGCAACCAACAGTTGCGGGGACTGGGCTATTTTGGGATCTGGCTTGTGTGCACACACTTGGGCTCCCCACATTAATCTGAGTTTGTGCCACATCCTGCCAGCATGAGTGGCAAGAAAATACAAACATTTCTTGGCCTTTTGGCTAGAATCAAAGTGTAGTATCAGTTCTTTCATTTTCCCACTGAAACCAATTAGTGTCTTTTCCCTCCTTTCAACATGATCAAAATAGAATAGTCCATTATTTATGCAGTTGTGTGAACTAATGAAGGGAGTAACAAGCACAATGAAGGCTTGGAAAATTTGATACTCACAAGACATATTGAAGGCAACAAGAACAGAAGAAAGCAGTGCATAACCTATCTATTAATTTTGAGTAAATGGTTGACAGAACAGGAATTAGTAGAAATAGCAAAAAGACAAGTTTTACTAAGGACAGGACATTATGGAGAACCATGATCATTCACATTCTGAATGAACAAGGCATATAGAAGAAGAAGGTTGACTACTTTCCAATTTCATTGTGCATTGCAGTGACAAGAAGGATAAATAAAATTAATATGTAAAAGAATAAAACTAATTTATTCAGGTAGACGGGATTTTGTGTTTATATGTTATGTTAGTTTATATGTTTATATGCTATATGTTTTTAAAGCCTTATATATTATGGATTTATTTATAAATAAAAATTTATGTTATATATATAATCTGCATAATACAATTGGTACCAACAAAATAAGTTATCAATATTTTTTAATAAAGATACATTTTGTAAACATATAATATGGGCCTTCACCCAACTTTTCACCAACTGACCAATACTGTATCACCATTCTTATTCATGTCAGTGTGCACCAAAACTGGGAGGAGCCAATTGCAAACTCACAAAGAAACAAAAGATGATGTCGCAAACCCTGTTTCCAGTATATTTGTGTGTTTATTTGGGGCTTTTCTGGTAAAATACAAAAAAAAATATGGCCATTAAAAGAGTGATAAGTAAACTCCTCTAATATATTTTATAAACATCCTGTACATTAATAGCACAGTTATATTTGTGGATCCCTTCATTAGTTTTTCTAAAAATCTATATATAAAATTCTGTTAGTACGTCTGTCCATCACACCCTCTAAGATAGCCATACATTGACTGATCAAAACCAAATTTTGGGGAGAAGTGCAAACAGGTAAGGAGGTGCAAACTACAGTTAGTTTTACTAGGGTGCATAGCTTAGTACAATAAATTTTCATTAATTTTTTGGGGGAAAAATTAAGAATTTTATTATTTAACATACAAAATATTCCCACTATTTTAAAACAAATCTAATGATTAAAATAACAAATACTTATTTAATAAAGATGCAATATTGTTTTTTGTACGTCTTTTCTTTAGGCTTATATATATACAAGAATCCAGTTTCCAGTTCATCCTGCATTTGCAAGAACTATAAAAACAAATCACAAAAGTTAAAATTTGGCTTCAGAAAGTATTATTTACACACGGACAGTTGTATGGTGCATGCTCAAGAGTAAGAAACCCTAGGAATTTATTCTTCACTGTTAAAAAGGAAAAAAATAAATTTTCTTAAAAATATTGTTTACCATGAAGTCCTATAAAATTAAAGAAATTAGTAAACTGCAAAGTAGGGGTTTTGTCAAAGTATTTTTCCAAACAAATCAACTTATTCAAATTTTATCGATTAGTTTGCAAAATTGAACAAAATGTAGAGTTTGTAAATTTTGACAAAAATGTTAACAGTAACTCAAACAATACTAAATACTGTGAAGATTTCAATATGCTGATGTGTGTTGCAAAAAATTCTAGTTAGGAAAAATTCTAATAATGGAAACATAAACGACAGTTATATATAAAATCAGAAAGTGGCAGTTGAAATTTCTGGAACACAATGAGAAAAGAAAGCCTGGAAAATTTGACATGCACAAGACATATTGAACACAGGAAAGACAGAGGAATGTTGTGATTAACATCCCTAACAAGCTTGTGCAAATGGATGGTAGAACAGGAAGTGGGTGAGATAGTAAAAGAACAAATATTGCTGAGAGCTATGAATGATAGAAGGTTGTGGAGAGCCATGATCACGCATGTGTCTAAGAGATACAGTATATAGAAGAAAAAAGAAGTATATAAAATACACTGTATATGGGAGAAAGGAATGAATTTAAATATTTTTAAATGTGAAAGCTTATATACTAAGCCAGTCTTTATCTAATTATAGGAAATCTAGGATTGTTGATTTTTTTTTTTTTTTACAGTGACCTTCACCCTGTACAAGGCCAGGAAGCAACTTGCAGTAAGGGGTTACAGAGTAAGGAGCACAGTTAATATGTGGGAAAGATAACAGTTAACTCTAAACTTGAATGGGTTAAGATTGTAGTGATTGTGAAGAACACATTGGTTCCACAGAGCAATGGTTTAGGGGAAGAAGCTGCTCAAGTGGAACTTACTTTTCACCAGTGGAATATCGAAGGAATGAGGGTGGTTTGCTACAATGTGCCTAACATGGTGGGGGTCCTAGCCATGAAGGTTAGAAGTGGTGGAACTAAGGAAAACAATTCTTTTATTGGTTTGTTACAGTGGATAAAAATTATTTTAAATTCTATTTCTGTGTAATAGTAATGTAAAACTAAAGAGATTTTTTTTGTTTTCTTTTTTACTTTACCAACTCCAACTTTTGTTTTATTATTTGTAAAAGGTTTATTACTTAAATATAGGTAAGAGTTGTGCAATAAAATTTTTATCCTATTAAATGTTAACTGATCACTTCGACCATTGTTTTGTGTTGTTGTTATATAATGACAGGTTAAAGGTTGATTGTTGTTTGTTAGTAAAAGTCTCACTGTTGGTTGGTCACCGATACTAAACATGTAATACAGGGGCATGTTTGCTGTAATATTTCTAGAAAAGGTGACATTTGAATCTGTATCAGTAAAACACAAGTGGATGTGCAGGTTGGGTAATGGAAAGTATAATTGGCAAACGTAGTTCAAAGTTCCAGGTTAGTCTGTCTGTTGTGTTCACTTTCATACAAATGTCTATTCTCCCCACCAGTTATGAGCTAAATAGCAGTGGAGATTAGGTTCTCTAGCCTTAGGTGATAATCACTTTAAGAGAAAGAAAAATTCTGTATTGAAAACTTAAGAGACGGTAATTGGAAACCACTCCACCATCTTCCCCAAGAAGTCATTGCAATTCACAAACCAACACTTTTACCTACTAGGCCATTGTCTCATAGATTAAATAAAGGGTTCAGTCCCTGTGGGTTACCCAGATTGATATAACAATAGAGGGCACAACAGCTGAAATGTTGTGATAAAAACAACAAAGATGAGGATAATAGTTCAAATATAAATAGTGTAAATAGTTAAAAACTGTTCAAGATAGAAGCACATAATGTTTCATTTTTTTTTATGCAAAAAATAACATTTGAACAGAACGGAAGGTATTCAAAAATTTGGGGGATTTGAATAGATTGCTCATACTGTCTATTTATCAGGTTGGCCATTGTTTCCCTTGTGTTTCATCAGCTTTTCAAAAAAAAAAAAACCCTTGAAATTAGTCTACCAGAAAATAAGAAACCTCATTTTTATCATTTTTTCTTTCTTTGAAGAAGTTATTGTACCAAAGTATCCAAAAACATTTGGGCAAGTATTTTTGCATGCATTTATGCATGTACAGACCTACACATGTGCACTCATACCCATCACATGTACACAGACACATACACATATCACATCCACCCACACATCACACAACATATTTATTTAGGCAATAATTCTTGATTAATACATGTTTGATTAAAAGTCACATATTAAATTTTGTTTTACCTGATTCTTCTTTCTGTGCAAGTAAACATTAATCACACCAAATAATGCACTTTCTCTCAGATACACTAGACTTATGACCATATCACATTGAAATATTGGTTCCCATACGATCACTGGAGTTAAGCAACACTGAGCTGGGTCAGGACCCAGACGGGTGATCGCTTGAAATACCAGATGCCATAAGATGCATTTCTAGTCACTCACTACTCTATTGTTATTTCCATAGCAAATGTTCAGAGGGGCTACCTAGTTCACTAGTTCAGGCCTTCACAGCTAAGGACTTACTATGCCATGTAACACAGCGTCACCTCATCTTCATTCCCTTCATATTACTTTAGGCTTACAGCTGCATCTTGTTGAAACACCATTTCCCATACGATTACCGAAGTTAAGAAACATTGAGTCTGGTTAGTACCTAGATGGGTGACTACTTGGGAATACCAGATGCTTTAAGCTTGAATGTGTGAGTGGTGTAATTGATAATGGATTGGAATTAGAAATCAGAAAGCCAAGTTCCAATTCCAATTGGGTTTATTATATTAACTTACATGCAAATATCCTTGCAAAAAATATGAATCCATCTCTTTTCCCACCTCCAGCTATGGGTTAATAAGTAGGACTAGTATCAGTAAATCATTATTATTTGCAAAAAATTCTAAAATATTTTTTGGCTTTAAATAACCTGCAAAATGTTGATAAGCCATAAACAAACAATTCAATCAAAACTCATTGTTGAAGTATAGACCATAGGTTGGCTCTGCTGGTGTTGAAAAAATACAAAGAGAGCATTTGCAATAAAGATTAGCTAGCTACCTTAGCAGACAGGTGTATTTGGATATAAGCAAGTAGCCATATAAGTGAATATAGGTCAGTGGTTATTGTACGGGAGAACTGCCCATAACTTTTTGATTTGGCTATTTCTTTAAATATTTTCAAAATCCAAGACCTTAATGATTGGGGAGAAAATAAACTATTAACATTGTGTGTAGACATTTTTTGAATGTACCCTGTCTTGTAACATTTTTTTTTATTACGAAAGTATTTAATTAACTTGTAGGTCAATGTTAAGTAACATGCATAAACATATTCCTAGAACACTCTCCGTGCATATGTGAATGTGTGTGTGTGTGTGTGTGTGTGTGTGTGTGTAAGAGAGAGAGAGAGAATAAGTTTGGTTTTATTGGAAAGAGATTTTTATATTGTTTTTGTTTGTTCAAGTTATTTTTCAAAGCAATAATCCAAATATCTAGTTTTTTATTATATTATTATAGGGCATTGTTTATTACTTTGAATTGTTTCTGTGAAAGTTGTTTTTTGGCTTTAGGGATTTAGCCATTTTTTTTTCTTTTTATTTGTTTTTAAACCGTGCATTCTTGAAATGAATTGACCAGCTAGGAGTAAATCAAACAGTAATTTTAACAAGTTTGGTCTTGTCTGCAAACACCTGGTGACCACCTTTTAAGTATAATTGATTCTTCATAACCCACTAGATGACACATACCTTCTGTGTATATCTCATTTAAAAATAAACTGGCTATTTAAAAAAAAGTTTTAAATATCTTTAAAATATTGTAATTATTTTTTTTTTATAAAATAAACCTGAATTTGCCCAGTTTTTGAAATGCTTCAATTAGATTTTTATTGTTCAAGTTTAATATTTTAGATTATACACTAATGAGACTGATCACAATTTTTACATAAAAAATGCTACTCTGATCAAAGGAGAAAACAATTCACTATGATGGAAATGTTTATAAAGTGCCTTGATTGCAAAGTCATTTACAGTAAATTGGCGCCCTGGCTCTTACAGTATTTCACAATTCTTGGCAGGACTTCTATTATCACAGTGTGGGATACCTACTAACAAAAGTGATGGAAATAAAAAGTAAAAGATTCTAAATGAATTCGCCTAGATAAAAAAAAAATATATAAAATCCCCAGCCCCCTTGTTCATGTGCATGTGTAGTCACACCAACATAATAAATTTAGCCCAATGAAGTCCTGAAGAAGGAAATGCCTTACAAGTAAACTTTTCCCCTTTGTCCCTTTGTCATATATATATATATATATATATATATATATATTGTTCTATATATATATATATATATATATATATATATATATATATATATATATATATATATATATATATATATATATATATATATATATATATATATATATATATATTGTTATCTCATTATACTCTAAATAAAATAACCATATCTGTTTATGTTAAAGTTTCTTTAATTAAAAACCATTGATATAATCATGCAATTTTGTTTTAAAAGAAATATTTACTGTGATTTATAATTAGTTTAATCTAAAATAGAGTTGAATAGGGAGAAAGAAGATTGTGTAGTGCCAATCTTCCAAATGAAGATCACTGGTAGAAGAAGGTTCTGAAAGGATTCTTGGCAGAACCTGCTTTTCAAAATCAATACTTCAATGACCCAGCATTAGAATGTTTTATTCATTTATTTAAAAGTTTGATTGGGCACCTCAATATGGTATAATGGTTACCAAGCTTCTCTCACTAGAAAAATTATGACTGAGTAGTGAGTTTGATCCTCACTAAGTGCCCCATACTTTTGGCCTTGTACCACATCTAAGCTACACTTGGAAAATCACTATTTAAAAATTTGATTTGTTTTTTTATGGCTTATCAATCTTTTGCAAGTTATTTAAAACCAGAAAATATTTTTAGATTGAAAGAATTTTTTGCAGATAATAATGATTTTACTGATACAAGTACTACTACTTAACCCATAGTTGGGGGAAGAAGAGGTGGATTCATACTTTTCCCAAGGGTATTTGCATAGAAATAAATATAACAAACCTGACTGGAATTGGGACTCAGTTCTCTGATTTCCAAACTGTTATCCATTACACCACCTTCACCTGGTATTCCCAAGCAGTCACAAGTACAAAATGAATAATGGTTGTGAAATAACTTGAACATTGATCACTGATACAAGTCAGAAATACACAACTTTTAGACATGAAACAGGCTTTGTTTATAACTTAACACAAATATTTTTTTCAGTCAGGTTTAATATAGGATATGAAATAATAAAAAGTTGATAAAAAAAAATGTAATTGTATATAACTTTACTTTCATTAACTTTAAAGTTGGTAATGTTTTTTTTTTCTGATGAGTACATGTGTACACACTTTTATAAGAAAGATTTCTTTTGCTGTTGTCACAAGTGCTTCCCATATGACCACCTTGAATTCCTGACAAAGCTTCATCTATCTATCTATCTATCTATCTATCTATCTATCTATCTATCTGTTTGTCTCTATCTATTTCCCATTTTGTGTGTCTGTTTAATTTTCTATTTCAATCTATCTATCTATCTATCTATCTATCTATTTATTTCCCATTTTGTGTGTCTGTTTAATTTTCTATTTCTATCTATCTATCTATCTATCTATCTATCTATCTATCTATCTGCCTGGTGCCTTGTAGGACATAAGGTCTCCATAGAATATTTCTGCTCTACACTGTCCACAGCTGCTGCTTGTGCCTGACTCCAAGATCAACCTATTACTTCCGTCTCTTAATCCATAGTCCTTTGCCATGTTGTTCTTGGTTCTTTTCTTTAAGATTAGTACCATGTTGCAGTCATTATTTGAGTCTTACCTTAAAGTTTGGCCCATGAACCTTCTTCACTGTACCACAACATTAAGGGGTTTCATGGAGGCACTCTGGAGCAGTTCTGCCATGCTCACATGGTCTTGCTATCCAATCTTGAGGATCATTCTTAAGCTCTTGTTATGAAATTGTTCAATAAACTTGTTATCTCCTTGATTCAATTGCCTTATGGCCCTGTCACAATGAAACACCAGTTCTCGTACAATCACCAAAGTTAAGCAACATTGAGCCTGGTCAGTATTTAGAAGGGTAACTGTTTGGGAATGCCGGGTGCTGTAAGCTTGGATCTGCAGATGGCATAATAGATGCTCAGTGTTTGAAAACAGAGAGCAGAGTTTGAATTCCAGTCATGTTCGTTATATTCACTTACATGCAGATAACCGTGGGAAAGGTATGGCGATTTTCTAAGTGTAGCTTAGATGTGGCACAGGGACACCTAGTGAGGATTGAACTCATTGTTCAGTTATTAACTGCATATGGTTGTTTGCAAATGGAATCAACCAGTATGTAACTTTATAAATTGTAGTTATGGTGCTACTTTGACTTTCTTTGATATTATTTTCATCTTACCTTTAGTTTAACTGAGAGATGGTCACTTCCACAGTTAGCACTTGGGTGTATTTTTGAGGGCAAAATTGTTGTTTCCAAATCATTTGTTGATGATCAAATAGTCTGTCTGGTTCTTGGTGTTTTTTTCGGAGCTTTTCCATGTCCATAAATATTATCCTAGATGTTCTTTTGGAATTTACCGCATAGCATTGAAGAAAGGAGAATCCAATAGGTATTATATCTACCACATTGTATGATCCATGTCTATAGTTACCAATAATTCTCTTTCTTTTGAATCTTGCCCCCCGCCACCTTGGTGATGATGATGATTTCTTGGTGACCTAAACTGAGATTTGTCATTTTCTAGTGTGTCACAAAACATATCTATTTCTATGGTGTTTCTGATGTAGGTGCACACACCACTATGATTGTCATATTAAATGGATTACCTTTCAGTTTCACCAGAATTCTGTCTGATAGATGCCAATGCCTTAAAATTTACTGTCTTTTGTCTTTGTCCAATATTAATCCAAGCCGTCTTTCACTCTTCTTTCCTCCTTAGTATATAATTATAATTCAGTGATTATCATTTAAAAAAATCCTTATTCTTCTTCCATCTTGCTTGACATACACCTAGAATATTAATCTTCAGCTATCCCATCTTTTGTTTCCACATTGTTTCAACATTCTGACATTACATGCCACCTCTGTGATTCTCCCACCTTAATTACAGGTACTTAATGGAAGGTGGCTAGGCAACACCTGCCACACATGTTCATACTGAGCAAGGAATCTGTTTATAGTGATCTGACCATCTTTACACCATCATGTGAACTACAAATTAACATGTTCTTGGTAGGGATTATGAAGTGTGTCCCTGTTCCCTTCTCAACAGTGTTTTTATTAAGACACTGTCACCAGTTAACTACAATTCACTCACCTTTTGTTAAGTATTATATTTCATACCAAGTTGCTAACTACTAAAGTCACTTTAGCCTCTGGATATCTGATCAAAATTGATTAGATACATTTTTAATCAGTTTAAGGATGATATTAATAAATCTTAATAATATTAAAGTAGAAAAAAAATCCAAGTGATATATATTATGTCTTGACTTTGAAAAAAAAGTTTTCAGTGGATTTTCTATGACTTGGTGTCTCTCCTCTCCACACACATCAGTTTTTTTGTTTATTTTTATTAAAAATTTTTTAATCATTCCATCTCAGGCAAGGCAATAAAGCTACTAAGATGATTTATTGTGAAAGAATAAGAGAAAAAAAAACATTATTAACATTTAGCAATCTGCATTATTAATATCACTTCCCTTTCCACTGCATTGTTTTTCAAGGCTTCTCAATTGCAGTAAATTGTTAATTTCACTCAAAATTTCTGTTCCCATAACAGAATATGGCAAAACAACTATGCAATTTAAACAAATTTATATTTAGTGATCAGAGTCACATTCAGTGGCAGGATAAGCTTTTTGCACATTGAATGAAGGCGCATACAGAGTGATAACGGTTAAGGGGTTAAGAGAGAACAATAAAAGAACAAGGATTAAGACAGAAGATATTGATTGACATTGAATTTAAATTTTTTTTTGATATTTAGTTATGATGGCAGGTTTTCATAAACTTTTCATAATTTAGTATTTCATTTCTGAGATGAGTAATTATCAATATTCTTGTATTATTTCAAACTATTTTTCTCATCTTGGCTGATATAAATATTATTATAGACAACATTTCAACCAAGTACCCTCTGATCATCATCATATTATTTATCTCCCTTTCACTTTGAAAGCTGTCACAATTTGGAAAGTAAATCCAAGGGGAATTAATTCACAATAAAGAGAATGTTTACAGTGAAAGTTTATCATGAAACTAGTTGCATTAAATATAAAGCCAGTGTGTTCCATGTGTCACCATTTACTTTGTATGTACAATCAACATTTTTTTTTTTAAATCAGTTCACCCCAAGTAAGGTGATAATGCTACTAAAACACAAAGTTACTGGGAGTGAAAGGAAATGAGAAAACTTTATAAGGAATTGGAAACTCAATCCTAAACAAAATATCAGCTGTCCTCTCTTGGGTTTGAACTTAAATTTATATCAATAAGATGACTTTCAGAAAGTAAAAATTACTAAAAGAAAGAAAGAAAAAATTTACTAAACTTTGTACATATTTAAGTTTGAAATAAACAGACTGAAATGATTAGATTTTTTGGAGAAGAGTCCATTCATAACATCCTTATTCTGGTCATCCCTTTTATTAAATATTCTGGAAATTTTCACCAATTCCTTAAATTTAAGCTGCAAGAATTTTAGGACAAAAAGTTAAAAAAAAAAATAAAAAAAAATTCTTGTTCATAGCTTGGGTGAGAAGAGATGGATCCATACATTTCCCAAGGGTATTAGCATGCAAGTGAATGTAATGAACTTGACTGGAATTCAAACTCGGCTCTCTGATTCATCAATCTGGGCCACTATACATTACTCTCCACCATGCCTCCTGGCACAACAACAAAAAACTATTAAAGGCAGATACGGTTATAGCAATGTCAAGAAGAAAACATATCTTTTGACGTAATGTTTTTATTGCCTAGTCCGAACATAAACTTTGCCAAAAAACAGTTTGCACAATCTTAATAAAAATATCATCTTATTTCTTTATGTAAGAAGTTTTTCCATAAAGCAATATTTGGCACTGACAATGTTTAACAGCGCAGGAAAAATGGAGACAAATGCTTGCTAAGTTAGTTTGTACTCATTTAGCAGGAACACTCTTGGAGAAGGAATGATTCATCGTTCCTGATAGGTTAGATCAGGGATTACTTGTTGCTGCTGGTACCATGTAACCAAGGATAATCTGTTGCATGTTAGGGAGAAGATGAGAACCCCAAGTTAATCACCTAGGGTTCTATCAATTTCCTGAATGTTTGGACAGCACTTTCCATTTAACCTTTATCACTCTGTGACTTTATTTGCCATGCAAAAAGTTTATCCTGCCACTGAAGATGACTCTGATCCCTGAACAATAGTGTGTTTGAATTTCATAGATGTATTATCATATCCTGCTATGGCAACAGAAAACAACTTTGAATGAAATTAACAATAAGGATACTGCAATTGAGAAGCCTTGAAAAAGAAAGAATGCAGTGGAAAGGGAATTAATATTAATAATGCAGGGTGCTAAAGGTTAAGACTGCAATCTTTTATCGCAAGTAAAAATAAATGAGGTTATTTATTATTGAGCAACAGAAGCCGCTCTAACAGTGAATATTTCATAATTTCAAATATTATTAGCTCATAAGTAATATTGCAAACCATGTTTTATTATTATTATTTTAGAAGAATATGTAGGTAAGTTTGGAAAAGCTATGTTGATGTAACCATTAAAATGCAACATATTGATGCCTCGAAAATGTATGTGTCATTTGACAGGCAAACAACTGTTTTTTTTTTTATGCATTGTGAATTGAAAACATTTTCCATGAAACAAATCAATAATATTTAGAGAAAGGAAACACCTGCTCACTTATTACTTTAACCTACTTTCCCCACCTGGCTATTTTACCTAACAAAAGATGTTGATTATAAAATTGTATATAAAATGCAATACAAGTAGATATTCTCAAGACTGCTTAACCTCATTTTGTGGCTGGATTTTTAACTTTTTTTTAATATGTGGTTTAATTATACTAAAGTTTCTTTTGCACTTGCATTCTCACCTAGGTTGTTTTGGTCAGTATATCTTCAAGCCTTGTTAAGATACATATCATATTTGACACCATTCAAGAAATATTGATTAGAGGGTTTTATTTATTTATTTATTTGCTGAGGTTTTATTTTCACATGATTCTTCAGGATTTGCATTCTCATCTTGTTTGTTTTGGTCAGTATATCTTTAAGCCTTGTTTAGATACCTATCATATCTGATACCATTCAAGAAATGTTGATTAGAAGGATAAATTTTTTAAATGAGGTTTTATTTTTACACATTCAAGAAATGTTGAGCAGAAGATTTTATTTTTGAGATAGAGTTTTATTATTATTATTATTTTTATTTTCTTTGATTTCTGGCGTTTACACATTTCTTTCTGGGTCCCGCCCAGGGACCTAAGGTTAGAAATGCCATCATGACACTTTCCACATAGTTAAAGCCCTTCATAAAGTGTGGTCTGTACTTGTCAGAACAATTTTTTGTATCTCTTTGAGGCATGGACTTCCAAGAATCCCTTCAATTAGTCTACTGGAATCTTTTCCAACCAGTCTTAGGGCTCCAACTATTATTATTATTATTGTTTTTTATTTTCTTTGATTTCTGGCGTTAACACATTTCTTTCTGGGTCCCGCCCAGGGACCTAAGGTTAGAAATGGCGTCATGACACTTTCCACTGACAAAAAAAAAAAAAGATATTACAGAGATTAAGCCCTTCGTAAAGTGTGGGCTGTACTTGTCAGAATAATTTTTTGTATCTCCTTGAGGCATGGACTTCCAGGAATCCCTTCAATTAGTCTACTCCAATCTTTTCCAACCAGTTCTAGGGCTCCAACTACAACAGGGATTGTTGATGTTCCCATATGCCACATTTTCGAGATTTCTATTTCAAGGTCCTTGTATTTTGACAGCTTTTTGAATATCTTCAAAATACATTTCAGTCAGCAGGGACTGCCATATCAATAAGGAGATTATTATTATTATTATTATTATTATTTATTATTATTAT